CAGGACCTAAAACAGCAGCTGTTATGTGTACACAAGCTCTTCTCGGTTGTGCCTGTGCAAAGCCCCAAACTCAGTGGCTTACTGGCAGTAGATGATGTGAAGGATTGTAGCACATTGTAGTCCTAGGGATTGTGATGCTTGAGCTCAAAAAATCAAACTTTGCTTTGCAACTCAGAAAAAGATGCCAGAAGACAATTCCTTCACTGGTGAAGTCCTTCCTAAGTCTGTGCCAGTGTGTGAGCACTTCCTCTTGTTACTTGAACTTGCTGCACTTTAAAGCAGCTACTCCTTGCCCGAACTGAATGTGGAGCAGACCCTGCATTTGCCAGCCCCATCAAAACCCAGTGGCACCCTCACCTCATTCTCCTTGGTGGGCACTGGAGATAAGGCTTCTCCCCTGGTTCCTGACTTTCACTACACCTCATTCTTTCTATGTGAGGAGTCTGTTGCAGCAAGACAGCAACAAGTGTTGCTTCTGAGGCACCAGCTGTAGCTGGTGGTTTTTCCAGTGGCCTCTTTCTTATGTTATTGGTGTCTATGAGGCAAGGAAAGTTATTTTCTTTTCTAAAACAAGTGATACTGTTGTTTTCTTCCTGAGTTGTCCTCCCACAGCATTACTGTGTGCTCTGTTTCAGGGTGCTGCTGTTATCAGACGCTTCTCCGGCTCTGAAAACACCATCCCTTCATCTGGAAAAGATGAATTGCCCAACTGCATGGTCAATGCTGCATCAAAGCAAGGGTTTGCTATCTACATAGATGAACCAGAAGAGAAAGAAAACTACAGCTGCCAAGTAGATGAAGAGCTGGAATCAAGCCTGTGTGAACAGGATACTAGTGCAATGACATCGAGTATTCACCTACTGCTGGATCTGAGTACAGGTGACTCCTGTTACTATTAAGGTGGTGTCTACAGTACAAATACATGTAGGGTGATTATGAATTGTGATGCTGGTAAGCTAGTGAATAGCTTATGTTACAATAAATAACACTTTAAGGTAACTTGGGTTGTGTCTACATGAGGTACAACACTTCTGTGCTAGAAATAGCAAGAGAAGGTGAAGAGGCTAATTACACAAATGTGTTGCTGGTTCCTCTTACTTGTTAGGATCTCCTATGGACACATCCTTCCAGTCCCAGCCTGAGGATCACATGGGAGATGCCATAACTCTGACTGCAGGAGAGTATGCAGAAGACATTCATCAGTACATCCGAGAGGCTGAAGTGAGTGGCTTGTAACAAGCTTATAGATATCTGTGGTCTCTGTGATGGGCTGCAATACTGCAAAGATGTATGGCTGCCCTGGGATAACTTTGTAGCCACTGAGCTACAAAGGAGAGAAAGCAAGCAGTAAAAACCATCTCTGAAGCTAAAATCATAAGCAGCTTCTAGGCAGTGATAAGATCTTTCAGGATTACTCTGCATCCCAGAAATACCCCACTGCTGGAGCATCTCTTGACTCCTTGGTATGAAGAATTCTTGCAGTTGGGAGTTGAGTGCTGCCAAAAATACTAATGATGAATTGAGATCTCCCTGGCAGTTCTCTTGCTATAGTAGTATTTTTTCCTACCTTACTGTATCAGAGCAGTAAAGTGCAGTTTCCCAGTAGGAAGAGGCGGGGTGGGAAACGTGACCTGTTCAAAGCCATTTTCGAGTCCCTCTGCTTGGCTTCTGTGTGCTTGATGGCAAAGGCTGTTCATAGTCCAGAAGGTCTTTTACTGTTTTGCTGCCTACACGGTAGCTCCACTCCAGTGTAGAAACACTACGTTCTAGAGATGCTACTAGCTGCTCATGAATACTACTAGCAGTATAATTACAGTTAGTTGTAATGAGTTATTAATAGTGGAACAACTCATGCTTCTTTTGATGTAAGTACAAAGAAAGTTAATCATCTCAGCCATCAATGGTTCTCTTCAGAGTGAGCATCCTGATTCTTAAACTCTCTTTCCAAACAGGTAAGATTCAGGCCCAAGCCCTACTACATGAGGAAGCAACCAGATATCACGACAGGAATGCGTGCCATCTTGGTAGACTGGCTGGTAGAAGTAGGGGAAGAATATAAACTTCGGACAGAGACTTTGTACTTGGCGGTGAACTTCCTGGACAGGTTTCTTTCCTGCATGTCTGTTCTCAGAGGGAAGCTGCAGCTTGTAGGAACAGCAGCAATTCTTCTGGCTGCGTAAGTGTTTTATCTCCTGAAATCTCAGTGAGCTAAAACTTATTTTTGGACCAAGTCTTTTAGTTTAATTTGAAGAATTGCAGCTTGCAATGGTAGGGTAGCTTTTCATGATATCTTAAGATTAGCAACATCATCTACTTTGGCATTATCAAAATTAAACATTTGATATTGGTGATGTGAGGGACTGTGGCAGCAAAACCTTGTAACTGTAACAGCAGGAGCAAAATCACTGCTGCTTTAGACTTCTAGCCTATAAGACTGCAGTAGATCCACAATTGTGATCTGCAATTAGCCTTGAAATGCTTTAAGTAGACAAAGTATTCAACATATAGCCTAGGAGTGCATGGGGTTTTGTCTGGAGTGGGTTGTGTTACTTTCTCTGAGAGCTTTCTGTTAGTCAGGAGCTAACAATGAGTGTGTTTCTATCTAGACTCATGACTTGGAGTTTCTCTAAATATCTGTGCTCAAATTTGCAACTAAACTGTTACCTAAGCTTGAGGAAGGACTAAAACAAGAGCTCTGCACAAGTCTGAGTCATGTCATTTGGCCATCCTGATATGGGTCCAGCAGAAAGCTTTCTTTTAATCTGACAGAACTTTCAATATGACAAATGTGGCTTCTATATTCCTCTTTCAGGAAATATGAAGAGATCTACCCACCAGAAGTGGAGGAATTTGTGTATATAACAGATGATACCTACACAAAGAGGCAGCTGCTAAGAATGGAACAACTGCTTCTCAAAGTGTTGGCTTTTGACCTAACAGCCCCAACCATCAACCAGTTCCTCCTTCAGTATTTTCAGAGGCATGGAGTCTGTATGAGGACAGAGAATTTTGCAAGGGTATGAATCGTCCTTCTTTTAGGACTGAGTAGGGATAAGTCATCTTAAAAGCAGAACTGCTTGTATTTCACTAAGTTATCTGAGTGGACTGGTTCTGCTACTATACTATGCTCTGTAAGAAGCAATCTTTTTCTCTTGTCAGGTCTTATCAGGGACTGCAACAGGCCTAAAACTGGATGCTTTGTACCCTGCTGCCTTCAGGGGGTAGCTTGTGTGCTGAGACTTCTGGGTAAATGTCTGATGGGAATCCTAAGTTTGGTCTATCTATCTGGTCAGGGATATGGCACTGGCTAGGCAGCTGGGTGGTAGGAATCTGTTTTTTTTTTCAATGAGGCCTGCATAGCAAGTCTCCCCTGGACACGGTGGTACTGCATATTGCTACATGCGGTCATGGTATATGCCTGCATAGCTGCATAGGCAACCCTGCTTAGAAACAGGGTACCCAAGCTTACAGCAAAACATCTGACCTGCTGCTTATCTGCAGAGGGTGTAGGATTGTACGGTGACTCTACTCCAACAGAACCCAAATTCTAATTCTTAGAGCTGTCCACTTATCCTTGATCTCCAAGTGAGGTCCACCTATATGAACAAGAGCCTCAGAGGATGGGAAGAGTGTCTTTGTTTATTTTTACAAAACATGTCTCTATCTGTAAAATTATGTTAGAGTTGATGATGGGACCAGAACTTCTGATTACAGTGTAGATTGTTTAGGCTTTGTCAAAGTGTGATCTTTCTGTCCCCACTGAAATATGCTAAAGGTTCTTCTATAAGACCGATGGGACTAGAATGCTACTACTACCCACCAGACATGTAACTCATGGTTTTCACATGAAACTGAGACCATTGATGTTTATCAATGCTTGCTGTATTGGACTAACTGTACCAGCTAGGCTCATTCTGTTTGGAAAAACTTGTGGGTTTTTTGTTCAGTATCTTGCAGAGCTGAGTCTTCTTGAAGCTGATCCTTTTCTGAAGTACCTTCCTTCACAAACTGCTGCAGCAGCCTACTGTCTAGCAAACTATACTGTGAACAGGACTTTCTGGGTAAGAACAACTGAATGTTAATGAGTAGCTCAAACATTTTACATTATCATTAGAACTAGGCTGAGAAGCAGGAGTAACTTCAAAGTATGTTGTTATAAAGGCTGAAATCCTAGGATGAGTAGCTGTTCCTGAGCTAATGGGACTATCTGATAAATAAATGTTAAATCAACCTGAAATATCCTGCCTATTCTCTGAAATGGGAGGGACCTTGCTGTCTTGCTCACTTACATCAAGTCTGTACCTAAGGCCTTGTCAGTCTTTAATCTCCAAAACTTGTCCCCCAAATGCAATTCCGGGGCTTTCTGGGAGGGAAGGGAGAACTGAATGTGCCTACTTGAATGGAGTTAATGCACTGAGTGGCTGCTTTAATGCAAACCTGCACAGGCCTCTTGGCTGTGTGTTGGAGAAATAGCTTTAGTAGAGAACAGGATCCAGAAGAGATGTAATGAATGCCACATGCTTAGAGCAGAAGGAGCTTTTTGTCAGATCTTCTGGCACGAAGGAAGACCTAGAATGAAACTGGTGGCAGGATAAACTTGAATCCTTTTCAAGCGCAAAGAATCTAGAGTGTGCACTAGTGTAATGAAAATAAATGGCTTCTGCTTCTGTAGAAAATGTATCTTCTAGATGAATGTTGCCTACAATAGAGTAACACTAGTTTTTCTCCTCTGACCAGCCAGAAACACTTGCTGTATTCACTGGGTATTCATTAAGTGAGATAGTGCCTTGCATAACTGATCTGCATAAAGCATGCCTTGATGCTCCCCATTGCCAACTGCAAGCAATTAAGGAGAAGTATAAACACTCAAAGTAAGTAACCAGGAAGCCAGTGTTCTGTAACTTGGAGGCTGTAAGCACAGGATGACTCTGGTTTAGCAGCTTGGACTACACATACTGTAGCTGATGAACTTTTCATAGTGGTCAGCTTCTATTCCTGAAACAGAAGCCTCTGTTAGCCTCTTGAGGGGAAAACTCTTCTGACCAGGAGAGTAGTTCATCCATAGGTATACAGATGTACTGGATGACATTTCTTCAGTGTTGCAGTGTATTGCACAAGAAGGTGATGTCTTTAAATTTGACAGCTAAACTACTATCTTTTCTATTTCAGGTACCTGCAGGTGTCTCTTCTGAAGCCTCCAGCAGTTCTTCCTCTACAATAGAGACTGTGGATCCTGGACTTGAAGATTACTTCTTCCCAATCAGCAAGGCTGGTGTAACATTTCATAGAGCACTGCAGGTCATGTGTTTGTAACCATAGCGATCAGAATGGTTTTTAGCTAGTATTTTTTAATTAGATGCCTTTTTAAAAAAGGATATTGGGCTATAGCTCTTAATATAACTGACAGCACTTTTAATAAATGTCTTATTACACTGTTCCTCTGTGACTCTTCTGACTCCAGTTAATATCTGCAGCAACAGTGAGTGGGAAGGGTTGTGGCTTTTTACAAAATCATTGTGACCGGGGCTCTTTAACTGGAGTGGGTAAAGTGCAGCTTGAACCGACACAGCCTCACATCTCAATAGACATGCACGACTTGCTGCAGTATCTTACCTGTTTCTTCCTCTTCTTTGAGACAAGATCATGTGTCCATGAACCAGAACCTATTTTCTGCAGCTTGTTTACTGTAACACAGCAGAAACATCCAGATGCAAGTGATCTGTGAATTCTGAACTTGTGTGTGGAAGACCACCAATATTGAGGTAAAATTCAAACTTCCCTTTATGGAGGAGAATAAAGGAGATTCATTTGCAAGGAGCTGGAGGAAGGGGAGATTGTGGTTGGCAGAGTCTTAGGAACTCTTCAAACACTAGTGAACAAACTGTAGCAGAGAGCAATGCTAACAGCTGCGAGGAAGAAACTGGGGCATGTAAGGTACTGGAACAGTGGAGTTGAGCTAGATGGCTGCTGTGTGATACTTATGGTCTGGAGTGGTCTTCTTGCATAGCTGTCTGAGATGACCTCTCCTGCCACTAGAGCACTGCTGAACATGTCTGCTCTGCAGTATCTAGAGAAGCCTCGCTCTTAGCAGGACAGAGGGAGGTGATGCAGCAGGACTATTAACTAATCTTGAGCTCTCTTGTGCCCCCACAAATTATTTGTTATGTAGTGGGGTTTTTAAAAAAAAAAACAAAACAAACAACCCACTACCTTGAGTACTCTTAAACACAACCCCTGTACAAAGTACTTAAATAAATAAATAAATATTGTTGGTCAGCATCTAGAGAATAGCTCATCTAAACGGCAAGGTAAGTCTTGAGGCATTCTCTTACTGCAATAGTTAAAAACCTTCAGTGCTTACTGCTTCCTAAGACAGTACAGGTCATTATGTGTATTCAAGCAAGAATATGCTCAACACTTGATGTTAACATGCAGTTCAGCAGAAATACTAAGTAGCAGCTAACAAGCCTCTTAATTTTAAAACTTGGTTATACCAGTGTGTGTGTGATGAGGTGGCTCTTAGCTTCAGGGGTTTCATTTCCCTTGATGTATTTAAGAGTTTTTTTTCCCCCTGCCTCTTCCCTGTCCAAGCTGGTGAATCCTCCTAGTAATGCAAACCCTTGTATTCCTCCAAAATTGAGGTAGTGGTAATTACTGAGTCACTTGTCTGTTTTACTTTTTTAGAGTTTACTTAGCTGAAAGACGGATACAATAGTTGCACTGAACTTCCTTGAAGCTTTAATTCTCTGGTATACAAACTTGCTTGATTTTTTTTTTTCCTTTATGAACTATAATCTTTGAAGAAAACTATGCTTTGTCTGCTTTCTTATTTGTTTTGTCATTATTCTGCAGCTGAACTAGTGGCTTAAATATTCTTTAGTCCAAAGGGTAAAAAAGGAAAATGGAAAAAAAAGCTAAGGAGTTCAAGTGAAGAATCACGTAACGCTGCAGTGTGAATGCTAATAACAAGTTTGTGCAAGGTGGATTAAATTTCAATTTGTGAGATAGAAGAAACTGATCTTGAAGTGGTCTTGTTGGAGATCTGTGGGTAATAATGGCATTTTGGAAGTTCCTGCTCTATTCAGTTCCTTTTGTTGTATTTGTATTACTCAGAGCAAGGAAAAACTCTTACTGCTCTTGTATGAGTGAGACTTGACTCTTCCAAGATGAAAACTGGGTACTATCTCCTCTCTCATTCTATGTGAGTCATCACACTTAACTCTGACCTACTCCTCATGTGGGTTTTTCTCTGCAGCTGATACTTGAGATCAAGGTATAAGAGATGCTTCAGATGGGAATATTGTGGTAATGAAGGTGAAATAATGCTGTTTTAATAAGATGAAGTGCTTAAATGCAGATGCAAAAACACTTAAAAGTCATTAAAGGATGTACTGAAAATAACCAAGTATATAGGAATATGGATTTATAAGGAGGGAGGTGAAGGCAGTCCAAAAAGAAGCTTTAAGTTTTCATTCATGTAGTGCCTATGCTATACAGAAAAACTAAGACATGTAAAGCTCACAGCCTTCTGTGATGTTTGAAACAAACAGAACCAGACTTCTTGAAGACAGCCATATCCTGGAAAAGAAATAAAGGGTAATCAACATTAAAGACTAAACAGAGGCAGTCTTAAATCTTGACCATCCCACTTAGTGACTTGTAGACCACACCACAAATAGGACCTAATTTGTTCTGTTGTTCAGGAAATGTTGAAACTGTTGCAGTTTCAGAATTGTCAAGCTTGATCTTGTTCTGCCCTGAAGATGTCTGTTGACTTTCAGCATGTGTATTTCAAAGACTGAATGCTAACTCCTATGCAAGTCACAGTATCTTCCCCCCAGTTAAAATGTATTGGGACAACATACTAGGAGTAAAACCTACTGGTGAGACAGCAGGCTAAGTGCATCCAAGGAGTTTTGAGTGATCATTCAATATTCTAAGTGTAGTGGGTTGGAATTGAGAAATGTTGGGTTTTAATTTTGACCCATGATGTGCAATTCAAGAGCTCTTTAATACTGGTACTAGAAACAAACAAAAAGCTCTCTATTCTTATTCTAGCAGTTCCCATACTATCATGCTCTGACTTTCAGAAGATCAAAATATGTTATGGTTGCATTATCCTGTTTCTTCTGTGTTGTAGTTAATTTTTTAACCAATAACTTCCAACATCAAATGTTGTATTTACCTCTAGTGTTCTGAGAAAGCTATTCTTTATAGCTGGGGATGTATTGTAGATCCATTTCTCCCTTAGGATTAAAATGGACAAGCAGAACTCAAAATATTCCTCTAAGGGAAGGTGCTGGTTTCATAACTAGAGTCTGTCTTTGTTTTCCTCTTCTTTGGAGTGAGTTAAGGATGTCTGAGAGGTAATTGGTTAATTAGAGAGTGATCTAACTGTAGTCAGGACAGTTAAGCTGTTAATTCATGACTGAAAGGTGTCTGCCTTTCTGGGAAATCTGGCTGTGTGGTTAGTCTGTGTACATACCTGCTTGTTGTCAGTTCTATAAGTGACTAGAATTAGCTCTGATTGCTGAGGTTGGTACTTACTTTAGCCAGTGACCTTGAAGCTGCTTGTGGGGATGCTCTTAAGGATGAGAAACAAGCCAGTAGCACCAGTGATTGCTTCCTGGAATTAAGCTTTTTGTCTTGCAGTTTTCCTCAGGACCTGCTGACCCAGAGCAAGATCATCTATGTATACTGAAGAGCTGTGCGGACTCTGCTAGGCAGATGTGAACTGGAGGAGATACAGATCCGTTTCCTATCACTCAGGTGTTCTAGAGTCTCATCAAGTTGAGTCTTATGAACTTGGTTAGGTCCTCTGCTAGTTATGGTGGAGGTATGTATTTTCCCATTGCATCAGACAATTGAGAGTCTTGCTGAATACTTATTTTTTTAGCTCTTGTCTGCTTCATAGTTTTTCTCTTGTATGGTAAACTCAGACTTTCTCTTGGATGCTTGTTCAGATTGTATCCACTTAATATAAAAAATACAAAGCTTTGCATGTTGAGATGCCCGTAATGAACATCCTTGGCAACATGTTTATGGAGGATATGCACTTTATGGGATGTTCCTGCAGAGATGTAGAGAAACACTGGCTTAGAAAGCCTGTGTGATGAGTAGCTAATATAGCCAGTCCCAAGTCTTCTGTGCCCTGCTTGGGGTTTGTCAGTGTAGATGGCAGCAGTGCAAACATTGAAGAGAATTAGCGTAGTCAAACTTCCAAGACAGTCTACAGAAAGATACTGAGCATATGATACAGTTAATCCTAAAGTACATGCCTACCCTCATCAAATTAACTTGTATCTAAGCTAAGCCAAGGCAAGAAAGACCAGGCAGTCTTGGCCATAATCCTCCTGAAGATGCTAAAATTATGGCTGTGTGTCCTGGAGTTTTGTACAGTGCTTCTCTAGCTATGCTGTGCTGCTACTGAAAAATAATTGTGGGCTGAGCCAGGGCTGGTTTCTGGCCAAATCTCTTGTCTCCATTTGGCTTGTTTCCATCATGCTTAGGGCTAGCTCCTTTTTTAAACAGATTTGTCCTGGGGAGAGCTTGTAGGAGCAGGACAGAATAGCCAGTATGAGCTAACAGGCTGTGTGGGTGGCTGTGTTCAGTGCTCATGCTTGCTCTCTGACTCTCTTTTGTCTTAGCAATGTGCTCAGAATGACCAAGTATCCTTGTCACTAATAGCAGTAAATACCTAGCTAAACCATAGGGGAGACTTCAGTCTTTCAGATGTTCAGACCCTCTTTATTTAAACACAGAGGAGTATTACTGGAGCCAAGTGCTGGAAGAACAGGCTCATGATAAAGCATTGAGTTCTGGCAAGAAACAGGTCTTCTCCCTCCACCATCTGCAGCCAAGCTGCCTTTTCTGTTTGTTTATTATTGTTTGTGTTTTCATGTATAAATAATTTGAAAAATTAGGAGGGAGAGCCCTAGAGCCCACAGTATTCAATGGATTAGGCATTTGGTACTAATCAGTGAGCTGCTCACAGTAGAATACTGTAAACCCTATCCCTAGCTGGGCAGAAACTAGAGTGTGACATGTACCTCAAAACTGGATCATTCTGTATTTAGTTCTTTTTGTCTCTCATAGGGAGGATAGAAATACCTGGGTCCTGCACCTGGGTCAGGACTATCCTCATTATCAATACAGGCTAGGAGATGATGTGCTGGAAAGCAGCCCTGAAGAAAAGGACTTGGGGGTAGTAGTGGATGAAAAGCTGGACATGAGCCACCGATGTGCATCTGCAGCCCAGAAGGCCAACTGCATCCTGAGCTGCATCAGAAGAAGTGTGTTCAGCAGATCGAGAGAGGTGGTTCTGTCCCTCCAGGTGAGGTCCTGGAATACTGTGTCCGTTTTGGACCCCTCAACACAAGAAGGACATGGACCTGTTGGAATGTGTCCAGAGGAGGGCCACAAAAATTATCAAAG